TGATGTTCACCTCCCGCACCCCATGCTCAGCTTGGATCCAAGCTAGGTGCACAGGCTTGTCGTACAGACCACATTAGGTGGTTCCGACTCGTAGGTGACCCGCGATTATTCGCACAGCCTTCACGTGATCGTAGCACTATAACGTATATATACGTTACACCCAGGCCTGTCGTACAGACCACTTTAGGTGGTTCCGACTCATGGGCAGGTTCAGTTGTTCAGTTATTGAGTTTGAAATTTGAGCTCTATATGCAGCCGTACAGGTCACGTTAGGTGACTCCGGCTGCCAGATGTTATGCTATTGATGTGATTTATACCTGAGCACTTGCATATCATTATGAGGCTTTGACATGGCACGTTCTTGAGCATGATTGGTATACCCTTGAGCATGTTTGGCATATTTATACATACGTATATATGTTCATTTTCTGGGAAACTATACTTGTTTTACGGCGAGGGGTTAGTATATTCAAAGAGAAAAGAAGGTTCTGAATAAGTTTGTTTTGCTGACCCACTCAACTTTGTTTTGCGCCCCTCCAGGTTTATGATATCAGAGCTTGGTGGCTACGAGGAATCCAACGGTGTTCTGACAGAATGGACAAAAATTAGGACTCACCTTTGGGTGTTTCATCTTAGAAATTGTATCTTTAAAGCTTCTGTACTGTGTAAATGGTTACGTCACTCTCACGTGATGGCCAGCATGCCCTCCTTCGGGACGGGGTGTGTCATTCTTCCTTTGAAATCTTCATTGTACGTTTTTTAAATTTCGATCCATCTATCTCTGAAATTTTTCTTCACTGTTACTCCATTGTCATATGCAGCCATAATTTTTTGGGTTTTTTTTTTCATGGCAATAAAATGCCTATTTCACCCTTTGTAGTCTCGAAAATTCCCAACTTTGTACTCGAGATGGTGACCCAAGTCTTCGTTTTCTAGCATTTGGGGTGCGTTTTGTCGTATAAATAAGATTTTATCAGTTTGCGAACTTAAAATTTGGGTCTTTGATTTTCCCTTTTTTACTGTGAAGTTTTTTGGGTAACTTTGGAAGTAAAAAAAAAGAGGAAATTTAGAGGAAATTGAAGTAATTTTTTAATATTTTGAATTTGGTCAAATTATGAGTTTTAATTTTGATTATCTTAATGTGTTATTCGTGTGCTATAGTGTGACAGCCCGTTTCGGATTTTCGAACCGTAGGGGTGAAATGACGATTTTGCCCCTATTATGGTTGTTTCTTTGTGTGGTTGTTTTTTGGTGTTACTTGGCTGGTTTTGGACCACACACACACCACACTCACTCACCCTCTCTCCCTGCCCTATCACAAGCCCTCTCTCTCTCCCATTCCTATTCTCTTTGTACGGACGACAACCCAAAACCATTCAAACCTTCACAGATCGAGGAAACAAATTACATATTCGTGCTCGTGAGGTCCGTAGGAGTTCAGCCATACCCATTTCAGGTAAAGATACCTTCGTTTTCACGTCGAACTCGGGATACCCCGATTTGGTCACTGGTCATGCACACGTTAATTCTTGTGTTTTTTGGAATTTCAAGTTTGTAGGAAGCTTGGTGAGGTCCTTAGGAGGCTCGGGGTGGTTCGTTTGAAGGTTTTGGACGTCGGGATCGTGAGTTACAAGCTTGGCCGGAGTTGGTGGTGTTTTCCCGGAGAGATTTCGTGGGTTTTAGTGCTTGAAAGTGGTATGGATTTGTTCCTCTTGTTGTAAGCTTCATTTTGATTCCAATTGTTGTAAGCTTCGCCGGAGAAGATGACAGAATATTTCTAACGGCGTTAACGGAATCCGTCAAAGTTAACGGAATATTCCTGACGGCGTTAACTGACGCCGTCAGTGTGTCAGGCACGTGCCTGCTCGTGGGTGGCGCGTGTGGCCGTGCCTTGGCCGGCGCATGCGGCGGTGGAAAATTTTTCTAAAAATATAGGGATGTTCCTGAGGTTGAGTAGATCACGTTGGTGTATTCATACACCCCATTTGAGCATTGTATGAGAAGTTATTTCGTGATGTTGGTTATGTGTTTTAAAATTTACGTTTTTATAGTTGTTTCGCATATAGGTGAGACCTATCCCAAGGACGAGCGTGGTCACTCGAGACAAGGGGGTTACGACCCTTCTATATACCAGTGAGTGGGCCTTTGGTTTTCCGTATATACCTATATATATTATGCTTTTCCCAGAAAGTGAAATGAAACGCTTATACGTTTATATGTCATGCTTATTGTTTGCCATTTATTTACGCATTATTAGTCGCATATGTATATATGTTTGGTGTTGCGGACGCACAGGTAAGTGCCAGGTGAGTTATGATTTATGTTTATGTTCAGTAGTGATTTGAGATGCATAGAGAGCTCATAACCTGCACCCCCGGTGTTAGTGCTCCCGCCCAGAGTTAGGCACAGTCCTTCACGTGATGTTCACCTCCCGCATCACACTCTCATCTTGGATCCAAGTTAGGTGCAGTCCTGTCGTACAGACCACTTTAGGTGGTTCCGACTCGTAGGTGACCCGCGATTATTCGCCCAGCCTTCACGTGATCGTAGCACTTGAGCGTACTTATTATACACCCAGTCCTGTCGTACAGACCACTCTAGGTGATTCCGACTCGTGTGCAGGTACAGTTAGTGAGATGGAGATCTGAGCTCTAGATTCAGTCGTACAGGTCACATTAGGTGACTCCGGCTGACAGATTACATGGCATTGATTTGACATTACCTGAGCACTTGCATTTTTATTCGAGGCTTTTGGCATGGCATATTTCTGAGCATGACTTATATTTATGTATATTATATTTTTTGGGAAGTATACAGGTTTTACAGCGAGGGGTTAGAATCTTATTTATGAAATGGTTTTTGAAAAGTTTTGTTTTTACCCACTCACACTTTTTGTTTTGTGCCCCTCCAGGTTCTAGTTGGCTAGCACTTTTGGTGGCTCCCCAGAGGATTTCCCCGGCATATCTGACAGATTATCACCAGTGTAGGACCACCTTTGGGTGTGTTTATGTAGTGTTGTTTCTCCTGGATTGCATTAGGTCTTCGTGCTCTGAACTTTGTTTTTCACACTTACGCTTGCACATGTATGTTCTTACTTTGTGTAAAGCTGATTTTTATTTATTCGTACTTTTATTATTATTTTATTAGCTTCCGCACTGTGCACATGGTTACGTCACTTCCACGTGACGGCCAGCATGCCCTGATCTCGATCGGGGTGTGTCATATGGTAATAAAAAAAAATTATTTATTTTCATTCTCAGGATATTTACAAGAATACTCACAAACAAATGAAGAATGAACTACCTATTGATAAGATCCCAAACAGACGTGTCTCTATTTTTACACCTTGTTGGGAGATATCTGTCGGAGTAAAGAAACTCATTAATGAGTATCTACAAATTAATTATCTCAAATTTAAAAATAAAAAACAATTTATAAGTGTAGGAAAAAGATTAATAGTGACCAAACAACATTTTTAAATATGGTAAGTCTTATCTTATTTTCATACTGAAGTATACTATAAATTCATATTGCATTCAATTTTTAAATAGAAATAAAATTACATTTTTTGTCAGTTTTACCAGCATCACACCCGTCTCAAAGTGCAAAGGTTGAAGTACAAGATTAAGGTAACATTTCTTACTATTTAATTTTGTAAACATGATTACAATTTGTTACCTCAAACTTGACAAATTATTTATCTTTCAATATTCTAAAAGTAATTGGAGTAAAAGTATTGCCATGAGAAAATTGTCAAGGTTAAAGGTATTTAGGTTAAATTGTTTACAACCTTTATATTTGGGATTGTGCATTATAGTTAGACTTCTTATTTTATCCTCATTGCTTGCAGATTAACCATGAAAATCTAAAGCATCAAGTCCAAGCAAATGGGTGGCTAGCATGGCTTTGATTTCACACATTGACGCTATGATTACATATGTACATGTTGTCCATATTTTACTTTGCTTCATATATTAGGAGTTCATCCCTAACTAGCCTATAACTTTTACTGAAAACTTATGAATCTGAAAATTTTGATTTAAGGACATTAAATGTTATCAGCATGTATTTAGAAATGAAAATACATGTCATATTTTTAGATTTTTTTTTAATAGTTTGTGTTTTCCCATTTTATCTTCGTTGTTGTTTTAAAGGAAAAATAGTAAAATTTGTATGAGAGATTACTCACATATGTGCAAATTGGAAGGAATATATGCTGCTAAATTCTTCAACGAACGTGGCAATATGACAATATGGCATGCATAACGATAACACCATTATCATAGTAAACAAAAATGAAATCCACCATTTTTAATCCCTTATTGACTAAGGAATCCAACTCTTGATTTTAAGGAACCTAACTCTTGATTTTCTTCATGTACAATATATAGGGGTAAAACGATATTGATGGATATAAGAGAATTCTAACTACACTGATTAACCAAATTTTTTTGTTAATCAGTAATTACTAAAGTGATAATAATGACCAAGCATAGTTTAGTTCGTGAAACCAAATTCTATCAGCCAAACAAGAGAAAAAAAAAAAAAAAAAACACCATAATAATCAGCAAGCAAAAAAAAAAAAAAGTGGCATGGTTAGTGTGCATTTCATAAATTTCATTTTTCCTGTACAATGGGGTTGGTGCAAAAAATACCAAGTTAGATGATTGAAAATAATAAGAAATTTTTGTGATGGACACACCCCGACAATTTATAAAATAATCACTTAAGAAATATAAAAATATCTAAAACAACACATTTTTTGGCGCGTAGAGCCCGTGATGCAAAAATACCTTTTGCACGCATGTTAGTGCGTGCAGAGAGGCTAATTTTTATTAGGGAATACAAGTGCGTGCAGAGAGTCTAGTTTTTATTAGGGAATACAAGTAACTATTCAAATACAAGTAAATAAATAAGGTTTTGGATAAGGGAGGGGTATAAAGTGGAAAATGATTTTCCGTGTGTAGTTGTGTGATGTCAACTCACTTATTATGACGTACAACATTTACATACTAGTTTGTACTTTCAGAGGGATTACCCTGAGAACTGATCCCGATTTTCATAGTACTCCCGGCCATAGATAGATAGCGTTAAGCGAAGGCTAGGCAGGCATTAGGCGAGAAACATAACTAGTAGAAAGAAAAGCAGCAGCAATTGAAACTGGAATTGAAATGGAGGACAAGTTATCCATCGTGGCAAAGAGTTTTGCACCGTCACCAATTCAGGAACTGTCCCATCTCGCCCAGAGGTGCAACGCCATCAACCTCGCCGAAGGCTTCCCAGACTTCCCTGCACCTTCCCATATCAAACACGCTGCCATCTCTGCCATTCATTCCGACTTCAATCAGTACAGGTACACTCCCTCCTAGCTCACTGCTACACCCACGACTGCAGCTAGCTTAACAAGTTTTAGATAGATTCGATTGATGAATGATGATTTATTGTTAACATATAATTAGGCATGTGCAAGGAATATGTGACCACCTGGCACACATAATGAAGCAGATGCATGGATTGGATGTCAACCCTCTTACTGATATAGCTATTTGCTGCGGCCAATCTGAGGCCTTTGCAGCGGCTGCCTTTGCAAGTATTTATACATGAGTTACTAAGTGGATAACGCTTGAGTGCTTGTGTGTATATAAAGAATTAATGTTTTGTTCTCCTTTATTTTTTCGACTCGCAGTAATAGACAAGGGCGATGAAGTTATTCTGTTTGACCCTTGCTATGAAACATATGAAGGATGTATTAAGATGGCTGGAGGAGTCTCAGTAAGCCTCTCTCTCTCTCTCTCTCTCTCTCTGATTCATTCTTCTTAGTAAATCAATATTACCACCCTGCAGTACTCTGCTATGTAAATGATATCACTCTCCCAATGTAGCCACTTGATCATCACTTTGTTATATATATGAATTGAGATTAGAGCTGCTGCCTTTGCTTGTCGAATGAATGAATGTCAATTATTAATTAGGATAGGCAGAATTTCTCCTTATTTTGTTCATTTCAATGGATGTGACAGGTGTATGTGCCTCTTGACCCACCCCACTGGACCTTGGACCCTAAAAGATTCATCAACGCTTTTAATGAGAGAACAAAAGCTCTCGTACTCAACAGGTTATAGCAAACTCAGGACCTGTGCTCTCTATTGATTATAGAATAGAGGTTTACTTCATTTGTTTGATCAATTGAATACGAAAACAATACTATAATTTATGGACCCTTTTATTGAAAATTATTAACCAAATGCTGGAAATATCCAGACGAATGGTCCCTAGCTAAACTCAAGTTATATCAAAAATTTCAAAATGGCTAATGTGTCCCTGCAGTAATTGGAGAATACTGCGGAACTCTGTATCTTGCAAGAAAAGATATCGTATTTCTCATATTATCATATTATGGTTTAGATATGTACTGATGTAAATTTTGCAGTCCTCACAATCCAACCGGCAAAGTTTTCACTAAAGATGAACTTGAGATTATTGCTGAAGAATGTCGCGCAAGGAATTGCCTAGCTATAACAGATGAAGTATGATATTCTTTCCCTTATACTAATTAGAAGACTTAGGCAAACTAAACTGCTTTAAATATTAATCAAATCCAATCAGATGTTTGCTATTGCTCCTTGGTTTGTACTTGTTTCTTTTGTTAGAATTGAATATGAACTTTTCTTTTCCTGAATTAAACTGCTAAAAACTGAAATGTGAGACAACTACTTGTCTAATTGTTGAAATAACTTTCGGATTTTTTTTTTTCTTTGAATGTTATCTGCAGGTATATGAGCATATAACCTTCAACAATGCAAAGCATATATCCCTTGCCTCACTTCCAGGGATGAAGGAGCGGACTATTATTACGTCTTCCTTATCTAAAACGTTCAGTGTAACAGGTCATAGCTTACATGCATCTTTCCCAAAAGAGCTTTGATTCAATTTGTAATATAGTGCTGATTGTTCATTTGTGCTTCAAAATTACTAAGATTTCATGGTTTCGTTGTTGGAATCATGTCTATCGATCAGGTTGGAGGGTTGGATGGGCAATAGCTCCAGCTTTCATTGCCTCTGCAATCAGAAACATTCACGCTAAACTTACAGATTCTGCTCCAGCACCTTTCCAAGAAGCTGCCTTAATTGCGTTGGGAAGCCCCCCCGAATACTTTGAATCCTTGAGAAGTGTAACGTCCAAATAGCCCAGATAATAGCTTTGTTTGTCTATGTGATGCAACTGGTGATGACTAATTCATCATTGGTGATATCTCTTTTATATATGCTCAGGATTATGAATCAAGGCGAGACTACATTGTCAATTTGCTTGCCAGGATCGGGTTTAAGATTCAATTCAAGCCTCAGGGTGCACTCTTTTTATTTGCTGAACTACCTGAAAATTGCCAACTTTCTGATGTATGTTTACCTCCCTTTACTTTATTGGTATTAGTTTTCAACAATTTGCACGAGCTTTAATATATTTTTCGGAATTATATGCATTTTTGTCCCCTCTTAATTAGGCTGCAATTGACAGTCTGTTTCTTATATGCGTAGCAAATGTAAGGTTTCATAACTTGTTTTAGGGTTGAAAATGATGAAATTCATGCTTCCACAGGTAGATTATGTGAAAATGTTAATACAGCAAGCGGGGATAGTGGCTGTGCCAGGATGTGGATTTTTTCATGCAGATTTATCGCTGGAGAAATTATCTCAGGAAGGTTACTGCTATCGGGAGAGATATATTAGGTTTGCATTCTGTAAAAGTGATCAGACTTTGGCTTCTGCTGCCAAAAAACTTGGACAGCTTTTGGATGCTGCAGGGTGTCTCAATCTAAGATAACTTGGCAGGAAGATTAACTCATGTTTTTGTACTTTAAGTTGAGATTATATCGGAAGATAGAACTTCATGAGAATAACGTACTCATATTAGATTGAATAAACGCACGAACTGTGCTTCCAATTTCACTTTTATTATTTAAAATATAAAATTGACAGAAAAAATATCCGATGAAATCACAAGAGAAAACTGCTCCTAAAACATCTCAGGGTATCCAAGGTGATGGAGGAGGTGGTGGGGGTGAAGGCAGGGGAGGAACTGCATAAAACATGGAGTTTTTGTCAACACCAGCAGGGTTTCCAGTGGACAGTGCCACAAGTGCAGCAACCAGACCTGCATTTCCTGCAAGGGTCGGCTCTGTGTAGTTATAATTGGAACGGACATCCTGGAAATTGTCGTGCTCATCAGGACCAGCAACCATGGCCCCAACAATTATATTTGGATTCGGTTTCTTACTGTCTCTCCATTTCAATCCCCCCTTACAACCATACTTGATCTTATTTTTGGGAATGGATGCTCCTCTATGGTGGACCTGCTGTGGAAAACGCTCACCAAAGCCGACAATGTAGCTTATCCCCCGAGGATTTTTGCCAATAATGTAATCAATTTGGGTCCTGGCAAACCTGCGCAGTTCTTCAGTAGGGTAGAAATTGGATCCGCAATGCCATCCAGGTGCAGAAATAGCGTCAACATAGTCGCTGTATAACTGAGCTAAAAAAGCTGCACAGACTACATACTGAAGAGGCCTTGGCCTTCCATTGTTCAACTGAATCAGCCCTCCCTTTGTTCTGTTGAAGCTTGTGAATACAGGAAGGTAGGAGCACATTGTTTCATCAACCTGACTGTGAAATGTCCTCAACATCTCTTCATAAGGGTACCCGTAATTCAAGAACAACCTCAGCCGGCTTAGAAGCAAAAAAGCACCAGCATGCTTGTTGTCCCAGCTAAGTACCCTATTCTTGGGGTCAGTCCACAAAACTTTTCCTTGAGCACCCAAGTCAGGGTTAGTGACAAGTTGGAGATAGGATAAGTTCCCCGTTGCAAGATACAACCAAGATCCACCCCACAGAAATTCATCCCAAAAACCAGTGGAATTGTAGATGGGGGAAGTCGCGTCCGCACTACCCGTATACTTTGCACCTTGCCCTTTGTTAGCAAATTTGAAGAGTAAATCAGCACCATGAACAAGTTTCTTAGAGTAATTTGTATTGTCTTTGAAAACAATGGATGCAGAAGCTAAAGCAGAGGCCATTTCTGCGGCAAGGGCCGGGCAGTTATAACACTCTTGTCCGGTTCTTGGATGGTCAATATCCTCAGGACGTATCCAACAGTTGCGAGTTTTCTCCTGATCACCACCACCGGAGGAGTCAGTGTCATCACCCCCTCTAACATCTGCAACCACATTGAAAATGGAATCAGCTGCAGAGGAATTGAAGGTATTGAGAAGGTAATCTGTACCCCACTTGATGATGCCCTTCACATGGTCTAGTTCTCCTAGTGCCGCATATTTTGCACTGTATTCGATCACGCTCCAACTCAACATGGTAATGGCAAAAGATGCGGGGAAGCTGAACTTGCTGGCATCTCCACCGTCATAATATCCACCAATCAGATTTTTGGTGTTAGAGTTGCCATCGCTCAGGCAGGAATCACCTCTCCATGAAACACTGTTGTACTTTGGTAGTTTTCCAGCTGCACAAAAAGAAACGTTCAGGTTAGATCGTTTACGTAATACATGTTTCCCTGGGAAGGTTTTGATTAAACAGTCATCAACTCATCATTGTATTTTCCTTTTCATATGTAACATGTTGATGAGGGTGAGATGACAATGTATGGAGGATTTTCGTCTGCGAATTGAAAGGTGATGACTGTCCAAGCAGATATTTCTTTTGGCGTGTTTGTAAATACGTGACTATATGATGGTTACACCCAAAGTTTTTTTGGTCTAAGTGGCAGGAAATAATATAGGAAACGTGCTATTGCTCACTATTAGACTTGGACTCTCCTTGAAACTGGACCTAATTAATCAATTAGTTCTATCCCGTCTTTTGGGCAAAATAATGTGTGAGAGATTATACAGTATTCAGAGGGGAGAAATGAAATCAAATAAATAAAAATTACAGTGGAGAACTGGAGTGTAATGAGATGGCTGATATTGATACATACATCGTTGGGCATTGAAAAAGAAGAGGGCTTGGTGAAGGGCGGTGGTGTAGTTGTCAGGCACAGACAGGTGGACATGATGATGGCTCCGTTGGGCAAGCTTTACTATGAGAGTGATTAAGGCCACCAAAATGCCAACCACCACCACACTCCCTACTGTGACGCTGTATTTTGCACAACAAATCTTCCTCATCGACATAAACATCGTCCTCTTCTTTTTCTCGTCAGTACTCCTCTCATCGTCTTTATTTTCTGGCTTCAGCAGCCACCCTTGCTTCACCTTGTCCGATGGCGGTGCCCCTGCCCCTGCCCCATCCTCCGCCTCTATCTCCAGCGGACCACCACCACCGTGCCGTATATCATCTCTTTTCATCCTCTCCTGTGTGTCTCTGATCGTTCTCTCTCAAGGGAGCTTAACCTTGAGAAACGGAAACAGAAAGACAGATAGCTGTCTTTGCCTCTGGGCTGCAAATTAATCGCTCTGTGCTATTAAGGCAGGCAGGCAGCCGCTCCCGAAAATGTTTTGTAAGTGCCGCCTCACTGCATTCCAATTGTCGAAAACAATCCCCTCCCTTTTTACTCTCTGCTGGCAAAGCGCTTCATATATTAACATTATGCACAAAGAAAAATGAAGGAAATTCTAATAAATTAATAATCCATTCATCCTATTCAAACACGTTTGTGACTGTTTATTCGGTCATTTAACAAAATAGCCAAGACATTTCCACTTATTATTATTATAAAAATTGCTAAAATAATAATTGGTCCCGATTGTATATAACACTTATGGGAACTTTCTGCACACACGCAAACAAATTAGGTTTTCTTTTAGCAAAAGAAAAAAAGTAAATTGTTTTAATGAGGAAATTATATGTCCTAATCTTCGTAAGCAAGCGTGAGTTGTCAAAAGTCTAATCTTTGTCAAATTTTTTTCAGAATAAATAGGGTTTTTTTTTTTTTTTTTCCTTTATAACTTTAGTTGGAGTGAATAATGGAAATTTAAGAATTCAACTGATATTATGGAATACATCGAATCCGTTTCCATATGTAATTGCAAATTGGTTAACCTTCGGAACCAAGATTGGCTATTAATTAAGCCCGCTTGTTGGAAATAAAATATAGGGAAAAAAAAAAGAGAATAAAGAGTATTTCTAAAGAAATGCAAGAAAAGGAGTGGGACAACCTGAGAAGGAAAGGAGACAGATAAAGAAAAGAAAATTATACAAGATTAGATGAATTAGAATATTAATTAAGAGTAATATTAATTACGGAAACTTTAAACATAAAAATATGGTAAATATTATATTTAAAGCTTACCACGTGGAAAATTTTGAGTGAATGGTAGTGCCACTCCATATCGTCCAGTGGCAAGCCAAGCCTCACACAAGTTTTTCTCGAAAGGGTTGGGGGGGGGGGGCTAAATCTCATAATTTGCTAGCAATGAAGTGATTCAAGTTTGTCTTTGGCGAGAATTGAACATAAGTCCTCTCACTTATCAATGAAGAGAAATGTCACTAGACCGTAGTACTAAGTAGCTCTATTATTTTTATTAGATAGTCTATTTTAGTGGCGGATTCAGAAAAAATTGTTTTGGTGGGGTTGCATGTAAATATTCACAAGTAATTCTTCAACAATAAATAGCCGTAAAAATTAAATCATAACTCCATCATTCATAATTCATGAAATAAAAAAAATTACAAACCACAATTATCCATTATAAGTGACATTGTTCATGATACAGTTTCATATTTTGAAAATGTCGTATTATAGCCTTATTATTATTATTTAAATTTACCATTATTAAGGAGAGATGTGAGAATTTGAAAATGTTAGAATAACTTCATTATGAATACAAGGAAAATTGAAATTTTAAAGATATGAAATTTGGGTCGGGATTTGGTAGAAATTAGGATTTAAAAGATTTGAGTTTATATATGTCTAGATTAGAAGCCTAAGTTCGTTTTCACTTTTTCTCTATGGCTAGGACTTTCTTTGTTTTTTTTTTTTTTTTTTTTTTTTTTTTTTTTTTTTTTTTTTTTTTTTTTTTTTTTTTTTTTTTTTTTTTTTTTTTGAGATATAATAAAATGACTTGGTTTTGCTACGTCCAAAGACGTAAATCAGCAGCAAAGAAAATACGTGATGCAACCTTCACCATCGCTACCTTGCCCATTCATCGTGGTAGTTCATCGAGCAGTTGGAGGCATATCTCAAGGGAAACTCTAAGCATCAAAGGGGCAACACTTAGGTCTTCCATGGAGGTTTGCCAAAGTTGGGAAGATCAGCCAACTTATTTATAGGCTTTAGGATTTATACAAAAAGGTGTTAAACATTATCAAGATATTACATATTGACTGAACAACCACATAATAAATATAATATACAACACTCCTTGGATATCAGCCCACTTTGCAAACTAAACTGGACTTCTTCATACTTAAGTAGACGTTTGGTGGTTAGAAAGCTACTGATGTTAGCTTTCCACAACCCTTTACGGCTTATACTTTCATTCCCTTATGAAGAAAATATTGACGTTTTACTACAAACAACGCAAGCAGAGATTTTTTCGCGGATTTGCATAGTCCACTTTTTCAGGATCGAACTCCGACTAGGGAAAAATTTTGAAGGCTCATCCATCAGGTGAACAACCTTGGAATAACCCATGGTAGCGCTCCAAAAGGTAAGTACCTTTGATTATTTAGTTGTATACATGATTAAATGCAAAATTTTACATGCTTTTAAGATTCTCAAACAAAGATTGGGGCATGGAATCATAACAAGCTACACGCATGAGCTACACTCCGACTTGAGTAAGCCTCAGACTGATTCAAATCTAATTTGATCAATCAACTAGACACTAAGTCAACTTGGTCAAAGAAATAACGTCCTATGTAATGACCCAAGCACTTAGCAAGGGCCAACATCGGGAATTGCATATTTAGGACAAAAACCACCAAGCTGAGAATGA